CCCGTGCTACCTGTCAGGACCTCGGCTAGTCGGGTACCCGTGCTACCTGTCAGGACCTCGGCTAGTCGGGTACCCGTGCTACCTCTCAGGACCTCGGCTAGCATGGGTACCGAATAGTACCCGAAAACCCAAAGTCGCAGATGACATCATGTACAGTGCACGTGTACAAATTCACGCAATACTCCGCATGTCTACCCAGTGTGTAAGAGAAGGGGTGCATGCATTGTGGTGTTACCATGGAAACATTACCCGATCGGGTACCCGTGCTACCCGTGGACAATTACCCGAATCCAATACCCGAAGAAAATGCTACCCGACTCAGCACTACTTTGCAGCCTTCCGTTGGTTTATAGGAGGAGGTTTCTCGAGCAGATTCAATCCTTCCCATTCACTCCCCAACAGGAGTGAACTGATAGTTTTGTAGGAGTTGCATTATTTGATAGAAAGTATACTTTTCACAGTTAAGAGGTTGTGGATATAGATTCCTAGGTTCGAACCCCAAGATGGGAGTGAGTGTGATTGCCTCCGGGGCCAGCTACGACATTTTCATCAATGAGTTATCACAAGTGACTATCAACCACCACGCCCCACGGGTGCGCTGTCCGGCCGACCTCAACACGTTGCCACAGCACACCTGATGATCAGCAAAACGACACTTCAGTTGGTACTCTGCTCCTTCAGACAGCAGCTGTGTGGATCATCATGATCTCGTCAGTGAAGGCGGATAATGTAGAATGGCTAGCAGATAGTGAACATCACCCTTATAGCAAAAGGGTGGGAAACCGATAATGGCGCATCTTATAGTAACAAATATTAGGGCTAAGCAAAAAGAGACAGCGGTGGATCCAGAGTTCAGCTGAGGGGAGGGCGCGGGCAATATTCATGACACGGAACCCATGCGGTCCATGTATTTTGTACACATTACGACATAGCGGCTATTTTACGTCATAGGCTTAGCGGTTATGTAGAATTACTATTTTAGCACATGCACTCACTCCCACTTTTTCAACCACTTCATTGAGGACTCTGGCTGTAGTAGAACATAGCCGTACTACATTGAATTGTGTAAAGATAGTGCTTCAAAGCCCAAGACATGCTGAGATCGAGAACAATAATGCTGCGTAGCAGTACCACCCGCCACATTCGTGACAGTCACAACGTCGTCATCTGCGATAGTTTCAACGGGTTAACGCTCCTGTCTCGCATCACTACTTCTGACAGTCCCACCATCGTCGTCAGAATCTACTTCGGATTCCATTTGGGGAAGATCAGAGTCTGAGCAGACCTCGATCTCAGGATCTTCGCTGTGGTCCGAATTCTCCTCCAAAGACAGATCACTCGACTGAGCAGCTGACGAAGCGCAAGGTCGCTTCGCGAAAAATCCGTGGAGAGTTTGTTGGCTCCCTGGCCGCTTGGGCGTGCGGTGCACCATCCCCTTCACCGACTTAGCTATTATAAGTTGGTCAACTGAACACTAATTTCAAAACTAGAAGTCAACCAAGTCTAAGAGAAAAACTATTCCGTGTTCAGAAGAACTTTCTTATCTGACACTAGAAGCTTCTTGTCACAGCATGTGCAAACACTTGCTCAACGGCCCACGGGCATGCACTAAACAAAATCGAAATACTTGAGGTGAGGGCGCGCGCCCTCCCCTAGATCCGCCTCTGAAGAGATACTGTTATAGACTACTACACTGGGGTTGATATAAAGCATGTCTGAAGAGATACTGCTATAGACCACTACACTGGGGATGATATAAAGCATGTCTGAAGAGATATTGTTATAGACCACTACACTGGGGATGATATAAAGCATGTCTGAAGAGATGCTGGTATAGACTACTACACTGGGGATGATATAAAGCGTGTAAGTGATAGCACACTAATCTGTGGACAGCAACTGTTTCGTTCTGTTAGAGCTGCTCAGCACAGCTCAGAGGACCGAAGCGCAGCTCTTGGCAATGGAATACGTTTAAGTGATAGTATATGTACCGATAGACGGGTGTGACTTCGATAGGCGGAACACCATAGCAAACTGCACTGCCTTCTTGCTACATTGCTGTAGTTGCTATGTTGTCATGGTGATATTGTTGCCATGCAGGTGTTTCCAACTGAAGTTGTTGTGTTGATACGTGACCACGACAACCACATGTACAAGACCTGGATTTTCTACTTCAGCAAGTTCTTTGCCGAGGTGAGGATTCTATTTTCTGTGTCGAGGTGTGTGTGTGTGTGTGTGTGTGTGTGTGTGTGTGTGTGTGTGTGTATGTGTGTGTGCGTGTGTGTGTGTTTGTGTAGCATTATGGTGATAATGCAGATTAATGGGTGCACGCAGTTTTGTGCTACCGCTCAATCTATGCTTCTATGTTTAATAGTGCTGTTACTGCATGCTCATGGTTTGCTGCTGGCTGTGGTCTCTGTGCGGCTTGGCACTCTGCATGATATTGAATGCATCTCTCTACGTGACATTGAACGTGTCTCTTTACGTGGTGTTCATGCGTGTCGCTCGCCTCCGATGTGGAAAGCGTGTGGCGGCGTTATGATGACGTTTGCTTGTAGCGCTCAACGTGGGTGGGGTGTTAGCGTGGGTGGATGTGTTTGCGTAGGTGTGTGTGTGTGTGTGTGTTAGCGTGGGTGGGTGTGTGTGTGGGGGGGGGGGGGGGGCGTTAGCGTGGGTGTAGCGTTAGCAAGGGGTGTCAGCGCTGGTGGTGGTGGTGGTCGTGCAAGTACATAACAATGATAGGTCTCCGCGTATACAGCCAATCCTTCGTCTCCACAAACTCCATCCGCTAGAGTCCCTTTTGGAAAAAATTATGCGTAGGGTTTGCAAAAAAATGCATTAGTATAAATGATTTTAAAGTGGCTTGAATCGGTCGGAAACCATCCCACCCCATCCATCCATCCATCCATCCATCCATCCATCCATCCATCCACCCCATCCATCCATCCATCCATCCATCCATCCATCCACCCCATCCATCCATCCATCCATCCATCCACCCCATCCATCCATCCATCCATCCATCCATCCATCCATCCATCCATCCATCCACCCCATCCATCCATCCATCCATCCATCCATCCATCCATCCATCCACCCCATCCATCCATCCATCCATCCATCCATCCATCCATCCATCCATCCATCCATCCATCCATCCACCCCATCCATCCATCCATCCATCTATCCATCCATCCATCCACCCCATCCATCCATCCACCCCATCCATCCATCCATCCATCCATCCATCCATCCACCCCATCCATCCATCCATCCATCCATCCATCCATCCATCCATCCATCCCAGTCTGCCAATATGTCACACCCAATCTTGTTGAGCGTGGCACATTTTTTATACCGTGAAGGTTTCGTAACGATTGGCACAGCCATTACTGCGCACATTATAGAGTAAGAAGTATTACCAAGTTTTTGGCCTAAATTTTCCGATAATTTGGAAATTACCTTGAGAATTAGCATCAAATCTTGAAAAAATCTGTGATTTGACTGTGGCTTTAGTTGCTGGATAGCAAAACTCATGAGTGTGTCACTGTGTGTGTGTGTGTGTGTGTGTTTCTGTTTGTACGCGTGTTTGTGCGTGTGTTTGTGTGTGCTGCATGAGTGTGTGTGTGTGTGTGTGTGTGTGTGTGTGTGTGTGTGTGTGTGTGTGTGTGCTGCATGAGTGTGTGTATGTGTGTGTGTGTGTATATGTCCGTGCATGCACATGTTGGTCTTGTAACACGTTATGTGTGTGGGCATGCATGTGTGTTGCTTTCTCTCCCCTCACAGCTACCCATCACAACACTATATTCACTTCTTTTCACTGTCATCACCTACTTCATGATTGGTGAGGGGACGATACTTGCGGCATGGATTCTTTATGTTTGTTTGTTTTGTCATGCTGGTCATCCTAAAGAGGTTCCTTGCTGGTCGTCCTAAAGAGGTTCCTTGCTGGTCGTCCTAAAGAGGTTCCTTGCTGGTCGTCCTAAAGAGGTTCCTTGCTGGTCGTCCTAAAGAGGTTCCTTGCTGGTCGTCCTAAAGAGGTTCCTTGCTGCTCCTTCTAAAGAGGTTCCTTGCTGGTCATTCTAAACAGGTTCCTTGCTGGTCATTCTAAAGAGGTTCCTTGCTGGTCATTCTAAATAGGTACATTGGCTGTTGTTCTAAAGAAATGTCTTGGTATTCGTCCAGGACAGACCCCTGTTGGTCATGCCAGGAGAGGTCCCTTGGTGTTCGTCCTAAAGAGGTCCCTTGGTGTTTCGTCCTAAAGAGGTCCATTTGTGGGTGGGTGTATGTGTGCGTTCGTGAGTGTGTGGGTGTACGTGTGTGTATGTATGTACACCCGGGTTACTATGAAGGGGGTCCTGGGCCGAAGCCCCCGGATGATGTATTTTTATGATCTTTTTTTCATCCTACTGATATTAAATTTTGATTATAATGATGTGGCAACACTGTGTAGATGAAAGGGATCGACTCATCTTCCTCAGACCCAGTCAACCCGGCATCCCAAACAGCCAAAGACTACAAGTATTATGAATATTGATTTTATACCGTATTTGCCCTTTTATTAAATTCCTCGTTCTCGTGAGAATCAGCTGGAGGGTGAGTTTTCTGGATCCGTTGGAATGCCACCTGCCTGCCTGCAAAGATCTTTGCTGTCCTGTTGTTATTGCAAATGCAGGTTTTCGGGTGGATGCAGACGGGTTCTTCACGTATTTCGCCGTTCTTCTCATGGCGGCTTATCAAGCCCGGGCTCTAGGTATTGGAAAACACGCACAATGATTGTCCACGTATGTCTGTGCGTCCACGTGTGCGTGTCTGCATGTGTGTGTATATTATACGGTATGTGTGTGTGTGTGAGCGTGTCCATGGGTGTGTGTGTGTGTGTGTGTGTGTGTGTGTGTGTGTGTGTGTGTGTGAGCGTGTCCATGGGTGTGTGTGTGTGTGTGTGTGTGTGTGTGTGTGTGTGTGTGTGTGTGTGTGTGTGTGAGCGTTTCCATGGGTGT